TAAATAAAACGCAAAATTCTTTATCTTCATCAATATTTATTTTATCTCCTTCAAAATATGCTCCATTAGAAGCGATACACAAATGCCAACGTTTCTTCCAATCATCAAAACATTTTTTATAGGCGCTTTCCGGTATGGCTTTGAGTTTCCTCTGCGAATTCTGTTTTACGTCTTCTATGGATTCAAAACGCGTTCCTCTGAGTGGTAATTTGAGTTTGGGAAACAGGAAAAAGTCACACGGTGCAAGATCAGGTGAATACGGGGGCTGTTCGATGGTATTTATTGAATGTTTGGCCTTAAAATCGTTGATAATGTTGGCTCGGTGCGAGGGAGCATTATCGTCATGAAAAATCCATGAATTATCCTTCCACAATTGAGGCCGTTTACGGCGGATATTTTCACGCAAACGTCTTAAAACAGTCAAATAATAGGCTTTATTGACTGTTTGTCCTTCAGGGACGAATTCATGATGCACCACACCACGAATATCGAAGAAAACAATCAGCATTGCCTTGATTTTCGAGCGACTTTGGCGTGGTTTTTTCGGTTTCGGCTCGTCTTTTCCTCTCCATTCCGATGATTGTTGGCTTGTTTGCATGTCGTACTCGTAGACCCATGTCTCGTCACCCGTTATGATGCGTTCCATGAAAGTTGGATCGGAATTGGCACGATCAAGGATGTCTAACGAGACCTGTCCACGATGGTGTTTTTGGAACAAATTGAGGTGAATCGGAACAAGCCGAGCGTTGACACGTCGCATACACAAATTGTCCACCAAAATCAAACGAGCCATCTCACGACCGATGCCTAGCTCTCGTGCTATCTCTCTAACACTCACATGAGGATTTTGGAACACGATTTCCTTTGCCTTTTCAATGTTTTCGTCGGGGGTAGAGGTCGAAGGTCGTCCAGAACGCGGCATGTCTTCGACGGTCGTACGACCGTCCTGAAAGGCTTTGTACCACTCATAAACTTGAGTTTTCGATAAAACTGATTCCCCATAAGCCTTTTGTAGCATTCGCAAAGATTCTGCACACGAAATTTCGTTCGAAACACAAAATTTGATGCAAACTCTTTGTTCAATATTTTTTTCCATTGTTTTTTTCGCAACGCACTACTGAGGTGAACTGGTTTAAACAGCTGCCGTAAACGAACTGTCTGACAGATCGCGCTCATTTTTGGCATAGTAATTGTCCTTAATTGCTGCCAAACTACATAAACTTAAAATATCGAAAAATATACAGCGCGCGAATTTTAAATGAGAATTTCCGAAAACTTTTCGGTCATAATGTATGATAAAATATATGATACATATGTTATTACTTAATATCCTGATACATTCTTAATACAATTGCTGTTTGACTTGAACTTCTCATACTCAGACAAATAATCTATATAATCTATATATATATAAACAGTTTATTTACTTATCTACTTGATTATTATAGACGTTTCATTCTTTTTCGCATTCAGCAGCATCTTTAGCGTGTCCGATCAGTTATTTGTTCTCGCTAATTGATAGTATCGAATGCCTTCATATAGTTGATCCTTTTGTTTTTGCGCCAAAGACTCGGAAGTAGTCTACATCATGTTTTAGAATAAAAAACTTTTCTAAGCGGAACATTATCATCGAAGCGTATGATGTGTCCCAACCAAGCCGCTGAACTTTTATACGCATAACTATATCTACTTTATGGTAAAGCTGTTATAGTTCATTGTTCTATCTAATTTCATATTCTTTATCATCGTTTAACAAAGAATTTTTCTCTTGATTATTTCTAATGCTTTCACGAAGCTATCGGTTATGTACTATAAAGTTAGACAGGCATGATAAAAAACTTGTAGAGACTGATTTTTTCTTGTGGAGAGAGTTTTATTACTATATTGCCTACTTAGTGCGTAGCTTAATTTTTTAGCAAGTGTGATTTTTTGTAGAATCTCTAGTGAGACGTCATATCAAGCTTTTCGTTGGTTTTTATATAATAAAATTTTTTCATTATTTCGAATTTATAGCTGTCAACTGTGACGTCTGTCTCAAAACGCACAAGAGAATTGTTTGTTGATAAACTTTGTTTTATCATTATTTACTACAAGATCCGTTTGCTATACTTGGTATTCTAAGACGGAAAATGCGACAGTGTTGAAGTGAATATGCAGGCCCACAATTTCAATATTATTGGAAGCAGTATCACATTTTTGTTATATATTGTGCTTTTGAAATTCAGAAAAAAATTATACGAGAGATACTAGCTGCCAAAATCTATAAATAAATACATAAGTCACTTAATATCACAAAAACAGTTCTTAACTTTCAATGACCTATGTTTAAAAAAAAAGATTTGTTCGGGTTTTTTTCTTACATGTCCTATAAGCATTAAATTATTTTTTACAATGATGGTTTTTCGTTGGGAAAGCCCTTGCACATACCTATTTGAAATAAAAGAAAACTTACTATTTAAAATTAATATAAAAAATTTAAGGTGCTTTCAAATAACATATACTCCTTTCAAATAACATATACTTTATTTATTATGCTCAAGCTATTTAAGCCAGTGCACTTGAGCACTTTTACTCTCTTTTAATTGCGGGGTATCTACAAAACCCCGCTTTACGCCTTGACTGATTTATTGTTTATCACTTCATCAGACTAAGCAATAATTGACCTCAGATCTGTATACCTCACCGAGGAGCCTGTAACCATTCTGAGATTCGATAACGCGGTCGGTTTCCGCAAATAATTTCAGGGCTCTATCCTTTATGTATTTTTTGAACGGATCAATCTTGCGGTCCCTGAGGATGTCATTCGTCCTAATGTACCATGGTACCTTGAAAAGTCTTCTCAGAGCCTGGCTTTTTGAAATTTCTAGCTGGCGAATAGTAGTGTTTAAAGCTTTGCTTAACGCTACACATCCATATAGAAGTGACGAACAAATTATTTGGTTATATATCAGCTTCCTGTTCTCAGCATTGAGATTTTCATTTCTGAATAGCGATTGGAGGTGATGAATAATTTTGGCACAGCTAATTCTTTTCAGTTGAACATGTTTAAGTCATGTGAATCGTTTGTCCAACGTGTTGCCGAGATATT